CAATTCCCATCATCCCTGACCACTGGTCCTGCTAGCCTAGGGATCATGGGAGTTGTAGGCCAAAAACATCTGGAGGGCTGAGGTTGAGGAAGCCTGGCTTATAGCATCCAAGCCTGCTTAAACCATGAGCCACAGTCTTATAATGACCAAAGTCTGCTTCTGTTCCACATCTTCTGGCATGATCACTTTAGTCATACACACAGATTCACACCCTGAAATGAGCTAATAACATACTCTGAGTGGCGGTAGCTGTCCAGGATTTGGGGCAGAAGTTTTCCCATCCCTTGCTACCTGATACTTTCAATTCCTGTGTTGAGTGTCTGGAGCACACGCTTGCTGATGAAAATAAATCAAGCCATAAAATCTAATTACTCCGCTATCTATATCAGTGTTTCCCAACCGGTGTTCCGCGGCACACTACTGTGCCGTGAGACATCGGCTGGTGTGCCGTGGGAGGGAGGCGGGCGAGAGGCGGCGGCGGCGAGGATCCGGCGGGGGTGGGGGGAGCGGGGGCCGTCGCGCGCAACCGAACTCACTTGGCGCGCTGCCGGCTTGTCCTCCTTCAACCCGGGTCGGGCCAGGCCTGCTCACGTCCCCGGATCCCCTAGCAGCAGCCGCACGCTCTCCAAAAGCGCAACGCTGCGCGCAACCGCTCGGCCAGCTGGTGCTCTGCGACTCCGCCCTTTCCCCTCCCAGCGCCGGAGGGTTCGCGCGACCGCAGCTGTTCCCTTTCGCAGCGCGCGGGAAACAATTCCAGGCCGATTGCCTTGTGCCGAAAAGCACCGCCTCTCCTTCCAGCTCAGGCCCGGGCCGCCGGCTCCCCGAATGACGTCACGGGGGCGGGGCTTTAATGGTGGTGTGCCGCGAGATTTTTTTCCGGTAAACAGGTGTGCCGTTGCCCAAAAACGTTTGGGAAACACTGATCTATATAACACATTTTATGGTCAGTTTTAAGGTTATATATATTCTGGGAATAAGTTTCAAGCAAACGTTAAGCTTGCAGTGTGTATTAAAGGGAAGTTATGATTGGGAAGATGCAGAGGGAAGCAAGAGTCAATTTGCATTTTGAATCCAATATAAACACCATGATGCAATATCTCCTTTAAAAAAAACATAGACTGAAGATTATCTTTGGAAAAGCATAAGTAGAGCAAAATTTCCAAAGGTGAAGAGGCTTACCAAAGGTGAAAAGGGAGGAGGAAATGTGAATGTGTTAGTTTTAGACAAGGATTTATTGAAAGATTGAATCATAGAATTGTCGAGTTGGAAGGGACCCTGAGGGTCATCTGGTCCTCAGGGGGCTGATCCTGTCTGATTGAGGCAGAGGTTTGACAAATCATGGTTTACAAAATGGGAAGGGTCCTGAAGAATTTATATTCCTCATCCCATGTTACCTATCCTTCGGACCAGATTCCCCCTCTTCCCCCAGTAGCTGTGACTTCACATGAGATGTATACAGACATAAATCTCAGCTCCCTTATAAATCTGAAATTGATGGGTTGGCAAACCAGCAGGTTTTGTCCTAAAATATGACAAGTATGGTTTAGGCCAGGATTGGAATAGATAATCCTTTTGGAGGATGGAGGGCACAGTCTCAAGGCTTGCTTCCATCTTTCAAATTATGGATTGTTGCCATATCTTCATACAGCCACACTGGATGTCAGAGACGCAGTTGAAATGGCATCTCTCAGACAGCTGAGAATACGTGGTGCCGGCATGAAGCATCTCCATGTATTGCAATAAAACATGGTGATTGACTTTGCATCAGGGCTTGGCAACTTTTTTTATGGCCAGTGGGCATACTTGGCATTTTGGTAGATTGTTGTGGGTGCCAGTCACGAAACAACTGCTGAGGGGCATGACATAATACATGCATACCTTGAATAAAACAATTAAATCTTTTGAAACACTGCAGTTTCATTCCCCACAACATTATTTTCACATGGTGCTTTGAAGCCTCTTGCTGACTCCTTTCTCTGTCAGCTTAACTATGAAGGTTGGTTCTGCCACGTTATTCTGCACTCCTTAGTCACTGCAACAAGGGTGGATTGATTCCAAGTTTTTCCTCTACTGCACTGCCAGGGAGGGGTGGTAAGTTGTTGTCTTATTTAGGGGAGGTAGGGACTTTTCTGTCTGTAGGTGGTTCTTATATAGTAGAGAAGGGTGGTTGTATGTGTTTGTAGTTTATGTGGATACCTGAACACTGATCTTTTCCCTTTCTTCAGTGAAAGGAAGCAAGCCTAGCCCATGTTCTCGAGCACCCTCTTCATTGCATGCCTGGGCTGGGGAGTTCATGCAGTTCTTTGAGTAAACCACTGTCCTCACCTGGGTGTGTGAGCTAAGATTTGGAGTGGTAGCTTGGAAATCCTCTGCAGGAGTTTCATGTTCCTTTTCATGATGCTCAGTACATCACTGACAAAGCAGAAGTTCTCCTGGGGCGAGGGAAATGCCTGTGCAAAATAAGATTCTGAATAAAAACTACATGTGGAATAACCACCAGAATGGAATAAGTCCTCCCTTCAATTAGTCATATTCTGTCTCTTCCATCCTTCCTTCTTGCCCCCCACTTCTGCTTTTTGAAACTTCCTGCTTTTACTTTAATGTGACTACAGTGACGAAGGTGTTGATCTTTCTTCAGTATCTGGGCCAGGAACTAAAGATGCTTTGTGAAACTGCTTCCAGGCTGGCTTCCATTTTTGTACGTGTTTTCACAATTTAACTTTCTTCCTCCTTAGCTTTTAAAAACTGGCATGTGGTAAAACTCCACTGATCTAATTCTAGCAAAGGAGTTGCGACCATCTTAGTGTAGCAAACGGAACCAGCTGTTTTGAGACACTTTGAAGAAGAACTAACAAATAGCTTTCAGAATAAGGTTTGTTTCTTTGTTTCGCTAGTACCTGTGAGAGCTTGTGCCACAACATTTGCCTTTAGGGTGCCCTGGAACTATGTGTCACTTGATCCAATTTTGTTGCTGTGATGCAGAATGGACACAAATAAAGCAACCTTGCAAAGGTCTACCTAGTTAATACCCTGCTATAAGGATGGTGATAATCTGGTTGCCTCCAGGCTCTGAAATGTAACCTCCCCTTTCATCTTGGACTAATACTGTAGGCCATTAACAGGTAAAGATGCATCTATATGTATTGCATTTTATGTAGGTAACTTACCTTAGGACCAATGAATGAAAGGCAGTGAACAAGCTTTCTTGGTAGATCCACATTTGATGAGTCTTGTGTATAAGGATCTTTGGACATTTGTAATAGTGTGTCTTGACTGACTTTCCCCGTAACTCTCGCTCACACATGTCTTTTCCCAAACAAAGTCTTGTTATGGGTTTGTGGGTGCCCTGACCCCCTCTAGGTTCCCGTGAGCTAGGGTTCAATCAATTCTTTGAGAATTATGATGAGCTGACAGACATTTGATTCAGCAGTGTAAAAATGCTGAATCAACCCTAAACATGCTTCCTAGGGAGTAGTCCTATTGAACACAGTGAACTTCTGAATTAATATACATAGGATTCCTATGTTTAGCTTTGCCACTGTTCCTACTCCTGCCCTTCTTGATGTTAAAAAACTTTGATTACATATTTTTAAAGGTAATACTTCATTTAAAACTGAGATTTAAGAAGGCTTGGCTTGTTGACATGGGCTTGTAAGCTGCAGGAGGATATCCTGTGACTTCCCTGATTCTTTTTACAAGGAGACAATAATATAGACAGGATGTGCCCTGTTGCCCTCTACCGTGTCTTGTTTGGGACTAGTGTGAATTCTTAAAGCTTTCCCCCATGATCAGAAAACTGTACTAGTTACATTTTGTCCATAGAGTGATATTCCTTTACGCTTGGTTCCAGCACCAGCACCTAAATTGCAGTGTGTGAGAGTAATATCCTATTTTGCTCTGGCTTTTGAAAAAAAGCAAGGGATGAAAGTTCCAACATTAGCTATGCTCCACAGAGGGATAATATAGCCACCAAGGGAATTTAATTCAATAGATGAACAAAATGGAGTGTTACATTCTGCAGCCTAGGTTTGTTCTTTGCTTACCAAGAAAACAATTTGCATTGCTTGATTCAGTTTAAAACCTTGTATTGAGCAGGGCTCTGGACTCCTGCCATTGCAGCACCACTGCTGTTCTGCACAGTAAGCCTGCAATTAACTTGTGTGTATTCAGCTTTACATGCCTGGCAAATAAATAAATAAATAGGCAGAAAGGGGGTGAGCATCCACGAAAAAAGACTTTGGCAACCCCACCTGCCATTGAACCCAATGTGTTTTGACTATACAGGATTTTGGCTTTAGGTGTAACCGCTGCGTTAAGGGGCCGGCTTACTGTACTGAATAACTTCTCTGAGTATCTAGTACGGTTTAGTTTTGCTCATGTGAACATAGCCTAGAACTAAAAACAGTAGGATCCGCAAAGGTGAGCGACTTCTTCAGCACTGTTACTGTTTGTAGCCTTTCTTGAAACATATATGGACTCCCACCTGAGTAGTCCAAATGCACAAAGCTTCAGATCGCATCTTTTGCTTTGACTGGAAGAAGGTTTTAGTTTATGCAACAGCTCCATCTACTGTCTTTCTCCCATCTCAATCTTCTTTGCTGAGTGTGTTTACTTGAGTCTGTTTCTACTGTGATAGGTTCTGCATGTCTGAATAGCACATGAGCCAGTTGGTGTAGTGGTTACGGTGTCAGACTCGGACCAGGGAGACCAGGATTTAAATCCCCACTCAGCCATGAAGTTCACAGGGTAACCTAGGGCCAGTCACACTGCCTAACCTACCTCACGGGGTTATTTTCGGGATAAAATGAGAAGGAGAGCTATGTATGCCACCTTGAGCTCCTTGTGGGGGAAAGGTGCGGTATGAAATGTAATAAATAAATAGCTTGTGAATCTCATTACTCGGAGAGTTGCAGATAGAATGGTCTAAAATTAGGAAATTCCTTATTGATGAGTTTTACCTGTTTTCCATATCATGAGCTCCCTTCTGTCTGTTGCTGCAGATCGACCACTTTGGTTTTTCTGAAGATGGAACATTCAAGCAACGCTACCTCATTGCAGACCAGCACTGGAAGAGAAATATCGGGTCAATGCTCTTCTATACTGGCAATGAAGGAGATATCACCTGGTTTGCCAATAATACGGTAAGGGAGAGTCTAGGATTCTAGGTAGGAACTCTCTTGTCATTTATTATCTGTACAGCTCTTAGAAGACGGTTGGCATTCTGATTTCCTACATATATTTCAGGATTGCAGTATAATAATGGAAATGACTGGATGATCCCAGGAGCCAAAAATATCACATTTGTATTATTTAAATAACTTTGTTATAGATGACTTGGAAGTGGTGACAAATGCTGCAAAAATGTATAAAGCAAAAAATTGGAAAAAAATACTGCTCCATCAGTTTCAGAATGGTAGAACAGAATATGTCTAACAGAACAATCCTAACTATAGGAAGCTGACAAAAGTTGCTTGAAATATGCCAGCGTAAATTTTGCTTACATCACCCTTTTTGCCAGCTTATGCTCACCCTGGTTGCCAGGTCATGTGATTGATCTGAATGGAGTTAGGATCCAATGCAAGGCACCCTGCCCAGTCCTGCTCACCCCCCTGGAATGTCCTCCCCCCCCCCAGGGTTTATGCCAGCATAATATCCACTGGTCTCAGCTCAGGCAGAGTTTACCCTGGCTGATCTGGGGCAAGGGAGTTAGCCTGGTATATTTCCAGCCAAGCTGGGATGTGGTACTTTTACCGGCATAGCCTTGGTGTGCTGGGCATTAACTAACTGAGCCAGAAATCTTCTGGATCTCAACTTGCTTGTTGTGACTGATTTTGCTTTGAGTTTGCTTTGCTCCCTAAATTAACATATTACAGAAGAGTAATCAGTAATATGAACTTTATTTGAGACTAACAACCTAGTACCTGGTATTGCTCATGAATTCTGAGAACATGCCCCCCTCCCCCCCAAAAAAACCCTGTGCTTAAATTCAGGACAGTTTTCAAAGGCTCAGTTTTCGTGTTGATTCAAAAGGGCATCTGAGTGTATCCAAACATAGGTGAAAGCTTGGTCCTTGATCTCAGGAACCATTATGCAAAATTTGGGTATCATATCTTAAGAGATTTCCAAATGCATAGTGAACAAACAACTTTACAAAATATATAGTAGATGAATTGGAATGATAAATTTCAGAATATACAACCTTATAACTCTTTTGATTTATAGTAATTATGTATGCGTAGGATGTTCTATAACTTAAAATTATGTTTAAATGGTTTAGTGGTTGGCAGTTTGTAAATAGACAACATTAATTCTGCTGGGTTTTTCTCTTTACTTCCTTCCAGGGTCTTATGTGGAACATAGCGGAAGAGCTTGATGCCATATTGGTATTTGCTGAACACCGATACTATGGAGAGTCTCTGCCCTTTGGAAACAAATCATTCAGTGTAAGTAACCCCTTGCATTCAGGTTAGTCATTGGTTCAATAGAGAATTTAGAATTTTAGAGGACAACTAGAATGGGAGATATGGGTGCGGTAATAGAAAAAACCATAAGCAATTTATATGTAAATAAGAGAGCTCTGGAGCAATTGCAAAATGGAAATTTGAGGTATAGGGATGAGTTGTTTCAGCAAGGGTAGCCAGTTAAATACAGCTAAAACTCAGTGTCTTCCCTCATAGTCCTTCTACATTGGAGGTGACACAGTCTTGCCATGTGACATTTGCAAGGGTTCCTTTGGTAAAAGTAGACAGGGTTTCACCCACTGTCATAGCTTTACCCTACTATGGCATAATCCCTCCCACAACACACAACTTCGCGGTGCAGTTGTATCACATGTTCATATAGGTGGAGCTTGTGCTACCCAAAGTGGGTGGGAACATCCCAGACACAGTCCTGTTCCTTTGCAGTAGAAACCATGTGGGCTACTGTGCAGTGAGTAGTCAAGTCTGCTGCCATGTGTGGATTCTTCTGTACCTTTTTGCTGAACTCCCACATCATTGTTTCCGGTGCTCTCTCCATTGAGCCATGTGAGAAATGAATAGCATTTTCACCTCCTGCATTGGGGTAGCAAAGACTAAGAGTCAGTTTTCTGTTGCTAAATGCAAATGTCATGCAATCTTGTTTCAGGATGCCAAGCATCTGAATTACCTGACTTCAGAGCAAGCTTTGGCTGATTTTGCAGTGCTCATTCAACACCTGAAGCATACTATCCCTGGGACCCAGGACACTCCTGTCATTGCCATAGGGGGATCTTACGGAGGGATGCTTGCTGCATGGTTTCGAATGAAATATCCTCATATAGTAATTGGGTGAGTGCTGTACCAAAAGAGTATCAGAAAATGATCTTGTCTGATAGAAAATTCTGCATATTTCACAGAGAACTAATTGGATTTAAATATCCAATATTCAAACACACACACACACACACAGCAGATTTGTCTGTTTGTGTGTCTTTAGATGTGTTCATCTCATGGTTAAGGGTGTGTGTGTGTGTGCGCGTGCACACACACAACACACAACACACACAACACAAACACAAACTCCTTTATTACCAGAGCAAACTACTTCAGTTTTGGGGGACCAGCAGTTTACAGTGGGCACAGACTCTATCTAAGAAGGGCTAGCTCCAGGGAATGTTAGGCAGGTTGGAGTGGGTCTGGATGAGATGGGGCATGGCACCTGAATTCTCTTGTACTGACTCTGACCAGCTGTTCTTGGTGCTTCAGGAAATTTCCACCTTTAGGAACCAATCCCTGTGTTGAAGGCATCAGAGGTATTTGTTGGTGTTTCTGCATCTGCAATAACACCCATTAACTATATTCATCAGATGGCATGCACATCACAACTTAAGACACATTTTAATTTTGTCTCGTGACCTTTCTTCACTATCCTTTCTCCTTTTTTTAAAACAGTGCTGTTGCCACTGTCAAGTCCTCCCTTTTAAGATTGGCACAAGCAAGTCATGGGTTGCAACCCCCATGTTGAAGAACAACCAAGCAACAGCTCTGTGAGGAAGGCTATTAACTGAAGGGGGAAAGCTTACGAAAAACAAGCCAAGACTGAATGGCTTTGGGGGATGATTCAGTTGGCTCACTGCTAGGGTTTGGATCCATGGCAAAACCTCTTGTTACCACAAGTGCTCAGTTAGATCTCCTTATTCATTAATCTCCTCTTTTCTCCCCTTGGCTCACAGAGCTCTTGCGGCTTCAGCCCCCATCTGGCAGTTCGATAACCTGGTTCCCTGTGGCAGCTTCTATCGTATCGTAACCGAAGATTTCAAAAAGAGTGGGAACTGTTGCTCAGAAAGCATCAGGAACTCCTGGGCAGCCATTGACCGTCTTGCTTCCACAGGTAGGCAGCTCATGAAGAGACTCGTCTAGAGCCTTCTCTAGGCCTTCGATCTCTGCTGTGATGTGCTCCTAGCAGTTCTATAAAGCCTGCCTGCCTTGGGGGTGGGGCTGCCCTGGTGGGGCCAACACCAAAGGGGGTCATCCCTTTGGAGGCAGCGCTTTGGTGGTGGAATGAGGGCGTGGACCAGCCTCCTTGTTGTAAGATTAATGTATTTAAGGGGTTTTCAGCATTAAGTGTGTTTTTTATTAGTTTGGAGAAATTGGTACAGTGGTACCTCGGGTTAAGTACTTAATTCGTTCCGGAGGTCCGTTCTTAACCTGAAACTGTTCTTAACCTGAAGCACCACTTTAGCTAATGGGGCCTCCTGCTGCTGTGCCGCCGGAGCACGATTTCTGTTTTCATCCTGAAGCAAAGTTCTTAACCCGAGGTACTATTTCTGGGTTAGCGGTGTTTATAACCTGAAGCATATGTAACCCGAGGTACCACTGTTTTATGTATTCCATGCTTTTTTTTATATTGCAACTTTAGGATGGGAACCACCCTGAGACCTATGGGTGTCGGGTGGTATACAGATTTAATAAACAACATCCAGGCTACCACTTCATTCACTCTCCAGAGATTGCACTTTCCTTTATTCCCTTCCTTCACACATACCTCACACATTATAATGACCAGGTACTTTCTTCCCAGCTTGGCTTTAAGAAACACTAATCCTGGGGTTGGTGGGAGTTGTCATCCATAGCCTATTGGGCCACAGGCAGTATCCAGTAGATGCTCATGATGCTGCCCAAATATATTTCACACACATACTTTTTGCTTGTGTAATCCCTGTTGGAAGTGGCTATAGGATCTCACTCAGGGCTCTCCCGAGATGTTAAGAGCCTCCTTTCTGCACTCTTTGTACTGACAGTGGGGAGGAGCCATATCTAGGTGTTCAGAGGCTGCTCTATCTAGCACTCGGAGCTCACCTCACTAACCCTACTCGATGCCCTCCTTCAGGTTTTCTGCCTGGGTGAAATGTGCCCTTGAACCCTCCCTGAAGAGGGTTGTGTTGTGTGACTTTTGTATGGCTTGAATGTAACCTCCTGGAAAAAGCGTTGCATTTGTTCCCCTGCCCACTTTTTGTCTGTGGCCTCACCCACCAATATTAGTCCAGCCCCCAGGAAGTTGGCAGTGAGGAAATTTGCCCCTTGAGCTAAAAAAAGGTTTTCCCACTCAGTATAGAAGTTCAGTTGCCAACATCTCCAGTTTTTTAAAAAAGACTCCTGGATAGGAGAACTTGGAAAAGACCCCAAGAAGAGCCACTGCCCAGAGAGGAGAAACGACTGGACTAGAGGGAGCAATGGTTTGACTTGGCATAAGGCAGCTTAATATGTGTTAACTGAATCTCTGTATTTTCTCCTTTCTAGAGGAAGGCTTGCATTGGCTTTCGTGTACATTTCGCCTGTGTAGCCCACTGAAAACTGTGACAGATGCTGCTGCTTTCAAAGGATGGCTAAGTGAGACTTGGGTTAATTTGGCAATGGTTGACTACCCATATAAGGCTGACTTCTTGCAACCTCTCCCTGCCTGGCCTATTAAGGTAACTGAACAAAGGCATCTTTTCATTTGCTCCCCATCCCCTCTTTTAGCCAACACTTTTTAAAGACTCTAGGAGGTCAAACATGAATAAATAGCAGTGGCACAAGATGCCCAAGCATTCCATAATAAGAGAATTCTAAGCATAATTTGGTTGATCGCACAACCTCCAGATGATTTTCCTTTATTGATGAGGTTGTAGTTCAATAATAACTGAACACTAAATGGATTTTTATTCTGCCTCTTGGCTCCACAGTGGTACTCCCAAGGTAGCAAATAATTTCAGTTAAAAACATCAATGTACAAAAGCAGCCAGCACATTAGGCATCAGACATAAATTGTGGCTTTCAGCATTGTGAGTTGTTTCTAAGCAATTGCTTTTAATTGATGCCTGAAGATAGAGGAGATGAATACTTTTTTAATAAGGGGGTTAGCAGAATTTCTAGAGCCAAGATGTGATGTAACCTAAGCAGGGAGAGGGGAACACCCCTGCCCAAACACACACACACACACACACACACACACACACACCACAGAAGAGCAAAAGGAGTGAGCTACAAGCTAGTAGTTGAAAGCAGTAGCTTTATTGTAGGGGATGTGTATTCTTAAGGGAGCTGTGTTTCCTATGCTAGAATACTAGAATATGGCACATAGAGGCAAAAGGCTTCTAGAAGGCCCTGCAGTCATAGTTCAGGTACCACTACCGAGAAGGCCCTGCCCTTTGTACCTGCCAAGTCTACCTCCAGTGGAGCAGTGACACAATAACCTCCCCTAAAGATCCGACTGCATGAACACTTTTTTATGGGCAGAGGTGATTCTTCAGGTACCTAAAAGTCCAGGGAGGACACAGATTGGTGGGGAGATGCTGCGTTGGTCACATCCCGGAGATTCTTCAAGTCTAGGACTTTGGGACAGTTTAATGGCCTTTTATTGGGGGGGGGGAGATGAGTGAAGATACGTGGAAATCCAGGTTTGGTAACACTTTGAAACCAAATTTGTTTTGTTCATTACTGCTTGCTTTAGAGGGTTTTTTTTATGGCTAGAAGCCATTTAGGGAGGAGGCGGCTTTCTTTGAGTGCCTTTTGACAAGGCACTTCAGTTCCCCAACACCTAAAACCAAGAGATTTCCTTCTCTTTTGTTGCAAAACATTTTTTTAAAAGGGAAAAATGTATGCAGCCTCTCTGGGTGGCATAAGCTGCTTCAGTTTCCTCCCTTCCTTTCTTTTCAAAGGGGGGGGGGACTTCAGTGACAAAACTAATGTGATTATCCTGAGTGAGACTTAGAGGTGTATTGAGAGCTTAGGGGAAAGAATCCGTTCGAACAGTTGAATGTATCTGCTTAATCCTCCTCTGTAATGGGGCCCATGGTCCTCTGGGGAAGTGCAGGCTTTCCCTCTTTCCCCCAAACCTACCCTCTTTCCCCGCTGCCCTTCATAAAAGGTGGCCGCCTCTTAAAGCTGCTCTTTAACTTCCGTATGGCACATCTGTGCCTAGTAAAGGAGTTTTTCAGGAATCCTTGGTCTTCCAGCCGAGAAGCTGCTCAGTAGGCTGGAAAAGGCTAGAAGTCGTCTTAATAAGTGATTAACTCCCCCCACCCCTTCACCCTTCGCTCAGCGAACCAGCTCCTGCCAAGAGCTGAATACCGAAGCTGCTGGAACTCTCCCCCTCCTCCCCTCGCACCTTACTAAGGCACCAGATCATCAGTGTCTCAAAGTAAGGTAAAACAGATTGTTACCTTATCCTCAGCCTGTTTGCAGTAGCATCCACAGTTATGCTGCAAAGAAGCCATCTTAAACTAGAATGAATCTTCTTGGAGAGACCAAACAGCTCAGCAGGAACTGCACCTAAGATCATAAGAGGCTGCTTGATCTGCTCTAGCATCCTGCCCTCACAGTGGCCAGCCACACGCCTATGGGGAGCAGGATCTGAGCATAACAGTTCTCTTCCCATTTAGAACCCCCAGGAAACCTGTATTCAGTAACGTACTGCCTTCAACCGTAGATGATTTCCCTCTGTGAAAATCATTTGGGGTTAGTAAGCTTAAAGTTCTTTGAAGCAAAGGTGGCTAACCTGTGACTCTCCAGATGTTGCTGGACTTTTAACTCCCGTCAGCCCTGGCCAAGGGATAATGGGAAATGAAGTCCAGCAACATTTTGAGGACCATAGGTCCATCGCCCCTATTTTTATTAAAGTATAATGAAGGAAATCCTCTCGCTGCAGATTTGTGGTAATGATTTTGTTTATTGGTAGAATAACAGATGTGTTGGCCATGCCAAGATTCAAAGTTAATTTGCTGATCTGTAGTTTAGAGGTTGCTTATCTGCTATCACTAACCAGAGTGGACAAACTGAGTCTACAGAAAACGCAGCATCTCCTGTCTGCAGGTTTAGTCTGTTGCTGATTTCTTTGCACTCTCTCTTTTTTAAAAAAAACTTCCCCTTTTCTGTCTTTCTATAGGCAGTTTGTAAATACTTGAGGAATCCCAAACTGCCAGACAAATTGCTTCTGCAAAACATCTTGCAGGCAGTAGACGTCTACTATAACTACACGGGACGTGCTTCATGCCTTAATTTAACTCAGACTGCCACAAAAAGCCTTGGGATTCAGGGCTGGTATTATCAGGTATGTATGCAGCATCATTTGCTCTGTGAAACTGTGGCACAAAGTGGGGCTCTTGAGACCCATATGTGAATGCAGAATGTCCTATGTTTGATCTCCGACAGCTACAATTAAAAAAATATAGGATCAGGAGGTCGCAGGTAATAGGACAGATAAGGTTACACGTGCAACTGGTCTAACCTGGTATGAAACACAATAAAGACCCGGTTATAGATCCATCTACGTTTAAGTCATTTTACAATATGTTCCATTTAATCCTGAGTCATTGGAAAAGGTATATCTACTCATTTCTGTGAGCTAATTCATCATATTTAAATGTCTAAATTGTAATATCTTTTAAGTAAACATCAATTCTTTTTGTATTTCCGCTAACCATTCTGCTTTATCTTGTCATATGCAATTAAATTCCAGCTCGGTTTCACTGTCCCGAGTATCCTTAGCTATCATCTCCATTTTCACATTTGAGAGTTCAATTAGCCATTGTGCTTCTATACAAATGGGCATCTATTCTGAACATACATTCTACGGATTTAATGTTCTTCCTAACTGAACTTTAAAATGTGGAAACGGAAGACAGATAAAAACTACTCAGTACAGTGGTGCCTCGCAAGACGAAATTAATTCGTTCCGCAAGTTTTGTCGTCTTGCGATTTTTCCGTCTTGCGAAGCACGGTTTCCCATAGGAATGCATTGAAAATCAATCAATGCGTTCCTATGGAAACCGACTTCAGACCAGGTCCGGGGACAGACAAGGGCTTTTCTTCCCACCCCCAGCATTTTAAAAAACCCCGGGACAGCGGAGGGCTTCTCCGCTGTCCGGGGCGATCTTGAAATGCTGGCGGGCGGGCGGGAGCGAAGCCTCCGCTGCCGCCCGCCAGCATTTTAAAAAACCCCGGGACAGCAGGGGCTGTCCCGGGGGCTTCTCCGCTGTCCGGGGCGATTTAAAAGCCCCCGGGAAGGCAGGCAGGGGGGAGCAAAGACTTTTGCCCCCCGCCGGCCTTCAGAAGAGATCCTGGACCTCTTCTGAAGGCCGGCGGGGGGTGAAAGTCTTTGCTCCCCCCCCGCCTGCCTTCAAAAGCCGTCCGGGATAGCAGAGAAACGAAGGCTGGCTGCGGGAGGAGGTCTCTCCGCCCTGCCGCCAGCCTTCGGAGGAGGTCCGAGGACAGTGGGGAAGACGCGCTGCGCTTCCCCGCTGTCCTGGAGATTTCCCTATGGGCTTTCGTCTTGTGAAGGAAGCCCATTGGGAAATTCGTTTTGCGAAGCGCCTCCGCGACGGAAAACCCTTTCGTCTAGCGGGTTTTCCGTCTTGCGAGGCGTTCGTCTTGCGGGGCACCACTGTATTGTGAAACCAAGCTGGAATTTGATAGTATATCACAAGATAAAGCACAGTGGTTAGAGAAAATGCAAAACATTTTGGATGTTTTCTTAAAGGATTTAAAAGCTATTAGAATTAAGAAATATCAACATGATTATGGGATTACAGCAATGTGAAAGTAAACCTTTGATTGAGTCCTTTTAAAAAGCCCATTAGATTTGAAGAACCATGGAGTCTCCATTCTGATCCTCAGAGTAGCAATAGTTACTGGGATACCTCAAATGGGGAGGAATATAACAGAGATAGAGAATGCTTTTTGAGGCATTGCCCCAAATTAAGACAATTGAGGTGTTGGAGGGTTCAACATACTCCCCAGTATTCCTGAAGGAGACTGGTCTAGTAGGCAAAATATCCCTTGAACTGAACATTGATGAGAACTCAGTTCTGAATAAAGGTTTGCCATTTGTGCCCACTCCTAAAAGCAACTGTGAGGGGCAGAATTGATGGAGAGAAGGTGCAATCCATCTTTCCTCTACATCTAGCGTAGAAATGGAAGGGGCAGTGTTTTCCACCCCTCTTCTGCCAGCCAAGCAGGCTAGTAAAGGTAAAGGTAAAGGTACCCCTGCCCGTACGGGCCAGTCTTGACAGACTCTAGGGTTGTGCGCTCATCTCACTCTATAGGCCGAGAGCCAGCGCTGTCCGGAGACACTTCCGGGTCACGTGGCCAGCGTGACGAAGCTGCTCTGGCGAGCCAGAGCCGCACACGGAAACGCCGTTTACCTTCCCGCTAGTAAGCGGTCCCTATTTATCTACTTGCACTTAAGAGTGCTTTCGAACTGCTAGGTGGGCAGGAGCTGGGACCGCAGACGGGAGCTCACCCCGCCACGGGGATTCGAACCGCCGACCATGCGATCAGCAAGTCCTAGGCGCTGAGGTTTTATCCACAGCGCCACCCGCGTTTTTCCACCCCTCTTCTGCCAGCCAAGCAGGCTAGTGAAAAACAATTTGTAATCTGGTAGCTTTTTGGGTGGTGGGTATATTTACAGTGCCAATTATTTATACAGAACATGGTTGGGAAACTAGCACAGCCTTTGGTCCTAGCCTGTGGCCTTCCCTACCCAAGCATGGCAATTAGGATAAAGGGGGAAACTTCAGGGGCAGGTGGCAGGTATGGGGGGGGGGCTAAGCACATTTTTGCTTTGACCCCCACCCATCTCTGGCATGCAGCTCCCAGAAGATTCTCCATGGAGAAATGCAGCTCTTGGGTGGGAAAGGGTTCTTTCTCCATGATGTGATGCTATCAGTCTGCCTGGTGCTTAACAGAGGACAGAAGGCCAGGTAGGTCCCTGCTCCGAAGAGTGTGGCGTCCAAACTGCTGGAGGAGGCAGGGGTAAAACAGGGACACATTATGGAAGTTGCTTTAGTTACCGTATTTTTCCTCTCTATAACACGCAGATTTTTTCTCCTAAAAAGGAAGGGGAAATGTCTGTGCATGTTATTGAGCGAATGTGTGGTCCCTGGAGCCGAATGGCGCAAGTGGAGGCAAAAATCAGGCAAAAATCAAATTGTTTCTCGGAGAAGGGAAACCTGAAAAGAGGAAGCGGCTGCTTTCCTGCATTCTGCCTCAGGGTCTTACTGCCCACCCTCCTCTGTTTCGTTGCTGTGTTTGCTCAAACGGAACAAAGAGCAGGGAAAGCCCCTCCCCTCCAGGCAAGCAGAGGGGAAAGCAGAGCGTCCTTCCTTCTAATTCCTCTCCATGCTCCGGAGGGAACAATGTTTGTGAAGGGAAGAGAGATTACAGGTTCAGCTTAAAATTCTGATTTGACTTCCTGCTTTTGTTTTTGAGGACACACAGCATTCAAATATGCTTTCTTCCATTTAAAAGGATGAAATCCTTAACAGTGTTTTGCCTGTAAATTCATGTGATCTGGAAGATTACAGTGTCTGTACCTCTTAAGGGATGGCAAAGTTTAGGTTTCGCTGCTAAATAGTTCTTAATGCAGTTAAAATGCTTTCTTCTGTCAAGGCAATTAAAAAATATATATATCAGGCAGCCGGAAAACATGCAGGAGGGAGAGAGAGAGAGCGCACGAGCTGGCTGGCTTGGGTGTGTGGGTGGGTGGAAACTTTTGCCTTCCTTTCCTCCCTCCCGTTATACCGCTCTCCTGCATTCTTAGCCAGCTGCTTCTCTGCACACCCCTCTCGTGCTCCTTGTCCCTTCTGTGTTTTTCCTTCCCTCCCCACTTAAAATGTGGTTACAAAGCATGGATCCACATGGATCCTCAGGATCTTTGCATTGGGTCAGCCCAAATTCACCATCAGATCACATAGCATGTCCATGGCTACAGCCTGCCCCCCAAAAATCACGCACCCACTGTTGCCTGGGGCTGCAATGGTGTAAAAACGTGGTTACAAAGCATGGATCCACATGGATCCTCAGGATCTTTGCATTGGGTCAGCCCAAATTCACCATCAGATCACATGTCTGTGGCCACAGCATGAAGCACAAAAATGATACATCCACTGTTTCATTCAGAATGTTTTTTCCCTTGTTTTCCTCCTCTAAAAACGATGTGCGTGTTATGGTCAGGTGCGTGTTATAGAGCGAAAAATACGGTATATACACCTGAGGGTTGGTGAAAAGCCGCCAAGTTGCAACAGAATGTCTAGACGTTGATGTCAAACTAGTTGAACTGGACTTCCTGTAGCCTTGTGAAATATGTCCAGGGAAGACAACAGTGAAGTTGGGCAACTTGGAAGAAAAAAGTTTAAAATACTGACCGGGGGGGGGGGGGGGGGTTCAAATGCAATTTCAAGAACAGTGCCCATTCCGGATATACACTGAGCCTCAGGAGTTTAGAACAATGAAGCAATTAAAGCTGAATAGTCACACTTTTGTATTGTCCTCATGTTATGGTGAACTTGTACTGTAAAAAATTGAAGTAGAAAACTCGATTGTTTTAGAAGTGGACTGGCTGCCTTACTTATACAGCAATCTTGATGTACCTGCCTGTTGCTTTACAGAGGATCATAAGTTGGTTCATCTCCCCCCCCTTAAAAAAAGGCGGTCTACTTCTCTAAATTAATTTCATTGTTTTCCTCTTCACCCTTCTGCTCTAGGCTTGCACTGAAATGGTAATGCCCATGTGTTCAGATGGCATCAACGACATGTTTGAGCCCGAAAATTGGGACTTGAAAACCTACTCAGATGAATGCTTCAAAACCTGGGGGGTGAGACCTCGTCCTGACTGGATCTCCACTCTCTATGGGGGGAAGAACATCAGTGCTCACAGCAACATCATCTTCAGGTGAGGTGTTGGTGTGTCTGTCAATCATAAGTGGTGGGCATGGCTGGAATGTGAGCTTTGTCACTAGCTGATGGCGTTTGGTGCTGTTCTGGAGCCGCATAGAATTCCACCCGTGACTGTATTGTGACTCTCTGTCTGCCAACAGAAGCTACTCTAATAACAGACAGCTTCTCTCGTCTACATTTTCCATTTTATGCAAGGTAGTAGTACTTGAATAGACAGCAAATGATGCAAACCTGATGCCAAGCCAGTGGTGGGGATGATAACATAATCGCATATTGGAATTGCATGAGTAAGAGATTTATGTGGTCAGCCTTGCACTCAATTCGCATAGCTTGTTAAAAGTAGGAATGACTTTTGTGGGAGCGGGTGTCTTAGACATGCATGCACAGAAGTAAACAGCAGGTGTCAGCTTGAATTTTTGCTGGAATCTTACATTCATGGCCCAGTTTTCAGCCAAGATTACTTTCCACAATGGCTTGCAAGTAGAATTGGTGCAAATATACAATATAATCAGGGGCATGTTGGTGTGATGGGGAGACACACACACACACACACACACACACACACACACACGTGACCTTCGGGTTCCCTGACAGTTGCTTTACAGTTGACACCCTGATCCAGTTTCCAGGGTGATAACACAAAACGAGCCTTTCCATTGACCTGCAGAGATTGCTGGGATGGGATGCAAACCTTTTGTTAATTGGGATGTTCCTAACATGCAGATAGATGTTCATTTCTTTCTCCCCTTTTTCCTTCCAGCAATGGTGGGCTCGACCCCTGGTCTGGGGGCGGAGTAACACAGAATATCACGGACACTCTAGTTGCCATAGTGATCCCAGAAGGTGCTCATCACTTGGACCTGCGCTCCAACAGCCCTTACGATCCGGACTCAGTGCTGCAAGCCCGTCTTTTGGAAGTTCACTACATGAGACTTTGGTTGCAGAACTATCGTCGTAATGGTTCGAAGTAACTGAAAGAGCTGGTGTTTGTGGTTTCCGCTTTCTCCTGTCAACGCCGAGGGAGGATCTGCTGGCTGGATGGCTGGCTTCACACAAGTGTTTCCCCCCTCGTTGTTTCATGCCTGCTTTCCTCTTTCTCTCCTAACCAAAGCATCTTATTTGTATAGCAGATACAAATAAGGCTGTGCAAAGGATCTTTTGAGGTGGCAAACCTAAACCTTGCAGTGTATGGCTCCAGACTGGTGGCTCTTCCTTGATGTTCTTCTGGCGCTTCACAATTTTGGCAGAGTTCAAATGGCATTGTCTGCGTTTAGGTTTAGCCCACTCCACCATGTCTTATGGAAGAAAGCTGCTTTAGAGGAATTTCCCACTGCTCCTGGTTGAGCACTGGAACCCAAACTTGGGAGTGTAGGGTATCTTTGTGAGGGGGGGGGGGTTGGGGGGAGAGGCTTTCCTTTCTTGTCCCACAAGCATCCCTCATGTGTGGGAAGCTGGCACATAAGTAACTTGTAATATCCACTGGGTTTAAAGCTGTATAGTGTAAATTCACAGATGACAAATCAGTGGCTATAACGCATTATGGCTCAAAGTTCCTGATCATGGAATTTCTATCTGAATTCCTATTGCTGGGAATCACAAGAATGGCAGGAGATTGGTGCTTTCAAGAAGCCCCCAAGCAGGGCATGAAAGCATCTCACTGGCTGGGGTTAGAAAACAGGATGCTGAACTAGATGGATCCTTGGCCTGATGCAGCAATGCACTTGTGTTAAGCTAAACAGTTTATGACATAGGTGTAAACTTTTTCAGGGGCGCTGTTGGGCTCAAGGTCCCCGTCCCCCCCGGAATTCCCCCAGCAGACAGTGCCAGGCATATTGAAAGGCTCACCTGATAGATTCAGTTACAGTAGTAGCTGCTGCAGCACAGGACCGCCCCATATCTCTGTGTTGTACCACATTTGCCATGATTCTTTGGGGCTTTGTTCCTATCTGCCAGTAATTTTGTTTGTGTGTTTGTTTGCTAAGAATTTATACCCTTCCTTAAACAGGGTGGCTTAGGCTGGCCTCACCTTTTCATTGGAGCATGAACTGCAAGGCCTCCGTCGGGCCCAACAGATTGCAAAGCTGTTAAGAAAAAAAAGGCCAGATAAGCTATGAGCCTCCATAATATTAAACAAAAATAAAACCTTCAACATATTTTACAGGGATAATAACAGTTTTGTTGCAGTTGGGCGTGAGTGTGTCCTAGTCACCATGAAAAACAACAGGAAAGAGTCTGTGGGACGTGAATGACTGTTTTTTATTATGGTATCAGTTTTTGTAGGCTAAAGCTTATATATATGTGTGTGTGTGTGTGTGTTACTGAGTTTTAAATCATAGCAGATTTTACAACAAACAACACTATAAACAATCATGGTTACTTATTTTAGTCTAACAGGAGTGATTTGCCATCTTGAGGTTGTTTTGAAGTTAATATCTTGTGTTCCTGAGCTTAATGACCCTGTAATCGGATAGGTAAGAAATTGAGTCGACTGTCTATCCACCCAGTCTGATTCTTCATGTATGCATCTGAGGAAGTAGGTGCTGGCCCATGAAAGCTTTTGCCTTTTTAAAATAATTGCAGTTTGTCCATGGTATCAGGGGTGAAAAGCCCAGCCTGTGGCACTTTGAAGACTAACACAACTACTCTCCTATTTCTTTATATGTCATTTAGACCAAAAGAAACAATGTCAAACTGCTTAAAAGAGTAGGTATGAGAGAGGCTTTTTGTCCACTAATGTGAACCTGCCAGCTTGAGGCAATATGACAAAGCCTTATCCCTCATCTTAAACTGGCAGATGTTTTAAATGAAGGGATATTCTGGGGTCTAGAGTGGTAGCAACACTGATGTTTTCCTTTGAATTGCATTCCGTTCACTATTCTCACCAATTTGCCATGCATAGATTTGTTGTTAGAATCATAAAGCCCATTCTGATGCTCCTACTATGGACAAGCACACCTGCAACATTCTGCAGTGGAGACCTGAATGGGGCGGGGAATCTACTACTTATTCCTTAAAAAAACAAAAACAAAAACACCATCAGTTTTTATATTGGTTTTCAATGTAGCAAGTAACAATAAAAAACAAGGAACAAATAATTATGCAATAAATAATAAAGAGAAGAACCCTATACACAGAGAGGGTTCTAAACACATACACCTGCACAAAACATTAAAAAGGATATAGGGAATCTAGGTACAAGGAGAAAAGAAAATATATTGGCCCACACAACAAAAGGGAGGTAAAGCAGCTTAGGGCTGAGATAAACAGATCAGAAAGCCAAGTGGCAACCAGAATGATGTCTCATATATTCTGGTTGCATAGGATAAATAAAAAAGGGCCACCGCATAATCTCATATTTGTTGGATTTTATTGCTCTCCTGCCAAGCCTCCTTCATTGGGTGAGTCGTTCTGGTTGCACCAAATTCCAAACGTCACTGCACCATCCTTCCTGAGGTAATGTAAAATTATGTTTCCAGTGGCGAGCTTTCTGCATCTTGGCAGCTGCAGGAGAGATTAGAACCAAGTTTGGGTGGCCGCTGCGAGAGCTGGACAAGATGGGCCATTGGCCTGATACACCAGGCTCTTCCCATTTATTTCATCATTAATTAGAAGGGAATTGTAAATAAATAAATGAATGAATGGAGGAAGCTCTTGCCAACAGCGCTAGTTTGTGCAGATCCAGAAATATGACCCCCTAGAAACTTGTTATTCAAGGTGCTAACTGAAGAGGGTGCCATTGTTTTTCAGATGCCATCCCATCTTCTGCATAATCGTCGCCCTCTGGTTTCCGTTGCTTCCTCTCTCTCACCCCGGCAGCCCCCAGTTTCCATTTGCAAAGGGGGAAAAATATTTTAGTTCCATCTCCTGGCTGTGAAAAAAAATTAAGGGCTGTCCTGAAACATGGAGCTGCAGGATGGCAAATCCCTTCCGTTTGTCTTGTTTCCTTAATCTATGCAACCCCTTTGGGTGGTGGGTAAGCAGTTTAGGTATTTGCCATAGAAGGGGAGGTGGTGTGCCCTCCTTTCTTAGTGACAAAACTAATGTGATTATCCAAGTGAATGTGAGAGTGGGGTGTTGAAGGCGTAAAGGAAATCTGTTAGAATAGCTGAATGTATCGGCTTAATCCTTTTCTCTAATGTGCTGGACAATGCTATTGGGAGGCGGTTGCTCTTTCTATACAGGAGCAAATGCTTAGTCTGCAGAGGTTATGAGTAGCTGGCAGCTTTTTAAAATACTTTTTCTAATGCCTCTCTTTTTTTAAAGAAAAGAAAAAGAAAAACACAACCACCAAAGCTGCTGGAAGTGGCTAAGAAGCACTCTGAAAAGCATTAAACAAAAACCAACCCCTCACAAAAGCTAAATAGTGGAACTTGGAGCAAGATGAGCATTTGTTTTGCCTCCAGCTGCCCAAAATGTTTTGGAACTAGATAAAATTCATCATTATTATATTTCCGCTTTTCACTCGCACGAGTCACAAGGCGGCTTACATACCATAAATAATAACATAGTAAAACACCACAACATAACATTAACAAATCATCAGTAAAACAACCACCTTCCACAAAACACCAGTAACAAAACAACTTTAAAAATAGGCTAAACAGCACAACTGCGAGAAAAGTCATATTGCAAAATTCACAAAGCATTACAGCTCTCGTAACCCACAAAACAATATTAGCAACATTAGCAAACTAACAACCGAAAACAAACTAAGTATTGCTGAATTTTCTTTCATTGTAGAAACAGATCCTTACCAGCCCATTCAATGCATAATACTGAATGGGAAAGAGGGTTTGTCTTCAAGAACGTGTCATGTAAGGCAGCAGCAAATTACCTAAAATATTCTGAGTGCTGTACATACCTGCATATATCAAAGCAGTGGTTCCCAGATGTTTTGGGCCATTTCCCCAATAGTTCCATAAATTCATCCACTGTGCCCCCCGCCAAAAGAATAGCTGTCTGCAAGACCCACTAAGGGAGATAATAACACAATAAAATCCAAAGTGGGAACAATTAGTTGCATGTTTATTCAAAATCCCTTTAAAACCATTTAGCTAAATTAATGCAACAAAACTGCTGAACTTGATCCAGTGGTACCAGCTTTTCAAAGCCATTTGCACCTACAATGTTCCCTGCTTGCTGCACTTCCAAGTACTCCAAGGTAATCCCCCCCCCACAGGGGGTAGTACCACCCACTTCAGGATCCACTGATTTATGCCATCATCATTATGGCTGAAGGGACGCAGGTGGCGCTGTGGGTTAAACCACAGAGCCTAGGACTTGCTGATCAGAAGGTTGGCGGTTCGAATCCCCGCGATGGGGTGAGCTCCCGTCGCTCGGTCCCTGCTCCTGCCAACCTAGCAGTTCAAAAGGACGTCAAAGTGCAAGTAGATAAATAGGTACCACTCCGGCGGGAAGGTAAACGGCGTTTCCGTGCGCTGCTCTGGTTCTCCAGAAGTGGCTTAGTCACGCTGGCCACATGACCCGGAAGCTGTACGCCAGCTCCCTCACAACCCCAGAGTCGGCCACAACTGGAGCTAATGGTCAGGGCCCCCTTTACCTTTACCATTATGGCTAAGCCAGGTGAGGGTAGCCAATGGGTCTCAAACCCTCTGTGAGTTAGGGACTTCCCCTGCATGTGAAGACAGGCTCTGGTGGATTGAGCAGACAAGATCAGTAGTGGGTCCAATGGTCAATAAGGCAGTTTCTGCACTTTCTGTAGAGAGAAGTGAGGGGCAGCTGGGGCTTGCCAACCTGGGAAGGGAGCCCATCTAAAAGGAAAACACTGATCCCAAACCTCTGTTGCCTTGTGGGATATCTTCCAGAGAAGAAAAGGCCAAGGAGTAAACCCAACACAAATCCAGAGTGATGTCCCTAAAATGGTTAGATTGTGTCTTGTACGCCTCCTTCCAGCAACTCCTGCTGCCAAGCTGGTGCCAAATGTCTTGCTCTGCTTTCTGTTGGACCCACTCAGTGAAGCGTCGCTCGGTCCCTGCTCCTGCCAACCTAGTAGTTCGAAAGCGCGTCAAAGTGCAAAGTAGATAAATAGGTACCGCTCCGGCGGGAAGGTAAATGGTGTTTCTGTGCACTTCTCTGGTTCGCCAGAAGCGGCTCAGTCATGGCTCCCTCTGCCAATAAAGCGAGATGAGCGCCGCAACCCCAGAGTCAGCCACGACTGGACCTCATGGTCACGGGTCCCTTTACCTTTATGGCCCAGGCGTCGGGCAACCTTTTCTGGACTGAGGGCCACATTCCCTCGCCCAAATGTCAAGACATGCATGCATGCAAGCCCAGAAGTAAAAGGGGGCAGAGCAATAGACAGGACTCTTCTGCATTCACACACATCTCTCAATCTGCCACCCAAAAAAGTAAGATGAATATTCACAACGCAAGCATGCATTACAGCCAGGTGGAGCCGGCCTGTCCATGAGGCAGAATGAGACGGCTGCCTCAGGTGGCACTCTCTAAGGGGCATCACCCGTGTTCTGCTGCCCAACTTTGCCACTGGTCTCCCCAGCCTCTGGGGCAGAGAGGGACTGGCAACAAAGCTCTGTGGAACGCCTCCCCTTCCACCAAGTTGGCATGAGGGGAGATGTTTTACCACCCAAATTTGCTCCTGGGCAGGTGGCAGAGAGATTCCCCACCCTGGCAGTGTGGCAGGGCTTTGCTCCAGCTTTTCCTGAAGGGAGGAGCCACTGCAAAGCTGTGTTGTCAGGTGGGGAAGGAGTTCCAGAAAGTATGCTTCTCCCTGTCCGGCAGGGAGGGGAGGTCAGGTAATCAATATGCTTGCTGCTGTGTGAAGTGAAGGACATGAGGCAGGAGTTGGTAATGCAGGTGAGCTGCGCACAGGTGAGCTGCAAGCAAGCAAGCTGCCGGCCAGCTCTGTGGAGGCTCCTTTTATTGACACAATATGCAAACCCAGGTAGATACATTTTGGGCTGTGAGCTTTACACATCTTCCAGTCCAAAGATTGTGGGGTAGTACAAAGTTATTTTGGCACCTGTTTCCACCATGTCATTTCCCCCTTGCACAATGTATGACAAAAGAGACAAAGGTCACAGACAGGACACGGCAGACTACTGAGATCACAAAAGGTTAGACAGAGGGCAAGATGTTCAGATAGCTGTGGCTTTATCTGTGAGGGGGAGTGTGCTCCGC